CAAATAGTTAAAAACATTCTCGAAAATGTAGCAGATACCGCAGATATGAAATCCATATTGACCGGTGCTCTAGTTTTCTCGGGTTATGCAGTGAAAATTGCCGTCTTGGGAGTCAGCAACAGACACTCAAAACAGACAGAGGCTTAGATAAGTTTCTTTACGTACTAATTAAACGTAAAAATACATCATGATTTAGTCAAAATCTATTCTATACTTATTTAATACGCAAGCAGGTGTTTTGTGACAATTACTCCTCCGAAACTACTGAACCGATTGACATGTTTTTAGTGTCATTGGAAAGAGCGTAACGTGAAGTTGTGCAGGAAACTTTCTTTTTAGGGAAATAATCAGAGAGTGAGGCCCTGGGGCCCTTTAAAGTTTTGTATTTCTCCATAAGATTAACATGGGAAATAAAACAAACATTGTTATGAAACTCCAGCTGTCGTCAGAAATTTAAAGTGAGATGAACATATGTTAATTGTAAACAGTCAATATGTAAAATTATCTAGAAGATAAACATGGACAACCTAATGCGGCTGTAAGTGGGAAACATTATTAGAAACACTAAAAACATTATCAGCCTTTGAAAAATGATAAGATATTTACAGGAAATGTTGATTACATTAACCTGTTATGCACATTGCGAGTATTTACATTAGTTAAATAATCATAGAGTAGTTTGAGTTGACTCTTTTAAGCTCATCGAGAATTATTACCGTCAGTTGTTTTCAAGCAACTCCTGTAATACTTTGCATTTGCTCGATTTCGAGCAACATGTACACTAGTTGAATTTATTTGCCATATGTCTACCCTGCATCCACTATAACCTGAGCACAAGTCTACCGTAGATACACCAACGCAGCCATATGTGTTCTGTATATTGAGCTGTCCTCGACGACATTAGCAATGGGTGACTTATCCTTCTCACCCTTGTCTTGTGCTATTAGTCAACTTTATTGGTCCTATTTTTTATCACCCTGTGATTTCCGGTCGGCTAATTACGTTAGGGGTGAAAAGTGGTAGGGACTTGTATATTATTCACTCTTAATATAATGGCGTTCTGAAAATAGATGGTTTGAAATTAACGTTTTAAAATTGTGTTTAGAGTTAAAACAAGAATGATATTTCTAAATTATATTTAGGATAAGATGAAAGTTAACTTGTTTGTGTGCTATGAAGTCATTTCCTCCGATGTTCAATACATTTTTCGCACCCACGAATACTTGAACAGAATGTCTCTTCAAGTATTCGTGTATTTAGGATTGTAAATTCGTATTTACAGTATTTAAATCGTCTGAATAAAATGCCAAATATTGGTAATTATTTCATGAAATTGTCTAACAAAATTATGGCATGTGTATGCTTGATTGTAGAATGTATTTTTCCATGACATGACTATTGAATACCTTGGGCCTATAGCGTGTCCATTTCATTTAGCCTCCATTTATCCTGTTTGTTATCAGATATTAATTTTACAGTTAAACTTTTAATTGAGGTGCCTCATTCAAGCCTATTTGATAGTGTCAAATTGAAAACATTATTTATATTTTTTTTCGAAATTCCAATTCGCCTTCGAAATTTGTGATACAAACTTTAACCTTTTTATAACAATAGAAGGCTACTTAGATAATACCAGACACGAAAGCCTGTCGAATGTGATGAACCTTTAAAGTATCTGTCTGTATAGGCCTACCCCTCATATTACATACGTACCCCTCATAGTACATAATATGGTTTTATTGTTGTATATTTTCTCCTAAACCTGACCTTTTCGCAATATGTTCGTGGCTCAGCTTGTCCAAGATAAAACAGATAATAAATGAAAACGAATGACCTATTTTTCAAAACATTCCGGAACTCTCAGAATGTAATTATATTCGTAATTAGTTTCACGCATGGATTTACTAATATCACGACTATCCTTCGCTACCCGATCGCAAAATTCTGAGTCTCCTGGGACACGGTCGAACGTGTCACCAGTGACACCGACGTCCAGGACCACCATGGTCCGCCACCCTCGGACCTCGCCCCCCCTGGGTACTCGCCCTCCACAGCCCCGGGGTACCCGGGTCACCGCCTCCATACATCATCTCAAGTCTAGGATAACATCTCGGCACACGATCAAACCCTGCGACATTACATCTGTGGAGGCTGTAGAGGATGAGCTTATGATGAGAGTGGAGTTAACCTCGAATAGATAAACAATCAGTAATTGTATGATATCAAAAAATAAATTAGGATACTCAGAAATTATGCCAACTTTGTACATCCGCTACTCCACACTGGTTTTGGTTTTGTGGAGTCTTTACGTATGTGTGTGTGTAAATTATCGAGGTTAAGTTTAATTACAAACAATATACAGAAGAATGTATTTTGACATTCCTCCCCATGTAAAAACTGTCACCAGTTTTAATCAAAATCGTCTTAGTTGATGGGAGCCAGCGACAGATTGTGGTGACCTAAATTATAAGCAAGAGGTTAATTTAACTTGATTTCGTCTTGTGGCCCTTATACCTCCTCTAAGAGTGGATATAAGTTCTCTTATCCACTCTTAGAGGAAGTTTAAAAGTCATAAGACAAAATCAAGTTAAATTAACCTCTTTTACCTATATGTTGTGACTTGAGACTACACAAAATTAAACATGAGCTTAGTTAGTAATTTCTGTAGAATACGCGAACTTTCACCAAGGAATACTAATGGTTTCACTAATGGAATTACTTATTGTTTGGTCAGCAACAGAAAACGAGGTAGAAAATAGATTTTTTTGTATTTTTGCTTTCTTTGACATTTACAACACAAGACACGTCACGAAAACATTTAAACAGGACACGACACGGCAAGCACACTATTTTGTTTTAGTGTCGTGTCTTGTGTTGTATATGTACTATTTATTAACAATTAACGCAATGAAAAATGAAAAAATCTCGTAAAAAAGTAAATACCACAATATTGTAGTTTAGTGTATGACTAGGCCCCGACGATGGCGTAAATCCGAAACGACCGTAGTGAAAGAAATCAGGATAACGAAGGCAGTAACCTATATATTATATAATTTAATTGGTCAAATATATAAGTCAATGATTACTTCATGTAATGGTAACAAACGAGTACATCGGTTGAAGGGTCAACGGACTTCTGGTTTATTACCAGCGGCGGCCAACAAAAGACTGAATGAGCGAAGAATTGCGGTGATTGGTTGATATACGAGAGGTGAGGTCGGTTTTGAGGTTGGAACAATGAGGCCCGAGTAACGAGGAACCGGTGGCGGGCGAGGTTTATGACTACTTGGAGTGTTTAGGTTGAAATGAGTTGAGAGGAATTAGCAAAGACTTTGTTGAGGTTAGATAATTTCATTGACGTTCCATTGTGCAATGAAGGTGATTGACAGTTTTGCTGGATAGAGTTGTTATAGAACTTGCCTGGTAGATGTTCACTAGTTCGATCCTTAAGAAAATAAAATGCTTTAAAACCGGGCGCAATTGTCCTTGATCATTAGGCATTTTTTATGGAAAAGTAAGTCGATTGACTAAATGATTCCCCATTTTTAAATACATTTTACGATATTTGCTTTACAGTTTGATTGCAAAACCAAAGAAAAAGTTATTGTTTAATTAGATTGTTTTATTTCGTAAAAATCGTGAAAAACAAATGTTTTGTAAAATACGTCCTTGCTAGGGATCAATAATTGTCTTTAATTACTGGAACTACAAGATTTTTCACTCCCTATTATAAAATCAAAAGCTTGTTTGTTGTGGTGTCAAATGTCTGGTAAGCGCTCTCGTTTTGCCATCTCAATGTTTTTCTCCTGTTTGAGGGTACATTTCACAACATAGACCTATTTGGTTTTATCAACAGGACAGAAACAATACTTAACATACATATCTGTTAGGCCTACTCGTGGTCTAAAAATTTTGTAAAGTACTGTATTGAGAAATAAATAAAATTGTCTGCACTTCATAAGAATGACATATTTATGGCTCAGTATGTTCAATATTTGGTTTCATTGAAGGATTTGAATTTTAAATACGTTTCAAAGAACCTGGGGCATTGTTGACATAATCGTCAGACAGTAGGTTTATAGTGCAAGTCATGGATAACGGGTCACAGTCTCAACAATCGACACAGACCTATGACAACATAACAGAAAGATCTTCTTGATATCTTGATCTGTTGTCTCAGGATTTCGTTCAATACTTGAATAGTACATGGAATGTATTTAAAGCTGAGTAAAGAGGTTGAGGAAATGTTCTCGCTGTTTAAGTCTATTGAATAACATTTTTGACAGTGGATACACTAAGATAAGAAGGGCGATTTGAAGAAGAAATTGTTAAGAATGCATTCCATTTCTGGACTATGGTTCTCTACTTGATTTACTATATAAACAATTGCATGCCACAATCAGTAGAATACGAATTTAGAAACAGGATAAATGTATACTCACATTTTTAGTATAGTTCTTACCTTAAGGTGAGGTTTGTTTATGTGGAGCGACAATTTCAGGTGTCTTGGCTTCAAATCTTACTAATTACGTATTTCTTTAGCCACCAGATATTTTTTTCTTCACATCCTAGGGCGCTAGGTTCTGGCGGGATTTGAACCCGAGACCTCGTGCTCCAAGGCCCCGAGCTCTACTACTCGACCAGCTCGCTCCCCAGCCATGAGATAATGACATTCAGTAATTTTTTGTATGGTCTGGATAGTTGAATGGTTACAATGTTCACCTTTAAATACAAAGGTTGATGGTTCAATTCCAAAACAAGATCGATCTTGAGATGTCATTATTTCTGATTAGGATATCATGGAATGATGCTGTCTATCAAAGGTTGAAGACAATTAGTAACAAGAACAGGGTTTGGGCTGTTCCTAAGAAAGAAATTTAAATTTTCCAGTGGCGTAAAAACACTCAAAATATAAATATAATACGTTCTCTTCAGATTCCCAATGCCTAAGTGAGGGAAATCCAGGTTTAAAATAATGTTTTAATTCGTATGTTTTTCAGAAAGATGATGAACTGGCGAAGGCTGTCAAGTTGACGTCCAGGGAAAAGAGATTCATCAAGTTTGCCTCGGTTGAGTACGACGGTCAACTGTACATGACTCCTCAAGACTTCCTGGAGTCCTTCGTTGACCAGGAGCCGAGACGTGAGTACACAGGTTACAACAAGATTTGACAGGATAAAACCTTGGACAATGGAAACAAGACTTTCCATCACCATATTAATGCTGTGGCTAGTTTTAAAATAAAAATGGAAGGATTTTAATTAAGAATTTGAGTGTATTTTTTTATTTATATTTTTTTAGAGGTTGGTGGCCTCTTTTAACCTTGCATTTTCCGTCCACATTGACTACAGAATAAAGATCTGTGTGTGGAACGTATCCAGCAAAGCAAGAGGTGAGCCGGTACAGTACAAAGGTGAACTGTACTGATAAAATGTTTGCGGCCGTGATCAGGATCCAAACCCACGACATAGCTGTCTTGGGCCCAAAGTCCGTGACGCTACCAACTGAGCCACCAACTCACCAAACTAAAAAAAAATATATTTTTTGTTGATGAAAATCACTGATTTCTGTTGAATGGAAATTCACTCTTTGACGAATGGTCAACTCATTGTTTGCTATAGGATATTTGAAACTATCACAGAATCAAAACCCAAGTGGGAACAATTTTTATTATAGATCACTTTATCAATGACTTATTTACAATAGTCGTTTTGAGAAGATATCTTTACATGAAAAGTATTTTAGTTTTCTAGCTTAGTTTGTTAATTAATAATGCAATAGGACAAAACAATATAGTTCATCAGACAGGCAAAAAGTATCTTTCGACCCTTGGTCATTTTCCGGCGTAAAACTTGAGCTTGTATTGAAAAGAGTCACTTTACACCCTAGTGATGAAATATACTACAATTTTATCAACTAGCGTACCCAGAGTAGCTGTAGTAAAACAGCAAAAATATGGACGCGATTGATATCAAATTTAGATGGATGGATATCATTCATTATGTTTATAAATAGAATCAAGTTGGGAAATTGAGAATCAAAGCCATATGCATTAGAAAATCTGAAAGGTGATAAAGAAAACATACTTTGAACATATCAAGTCTTCTTTTTATCAAATAGTGAGGTCTCTCAAATTGTCTAATCCATCCATTTGAATCCCAATGATTAAAAATCAACGTTTTAATTGGTTTTTAGTTCATCAAAGTAGATAAAAAAACAATACATTACTAAAGAATTCATATTTCAAACACCAGTCTGTTTCCTTGCGATTATTTCAACATCTAAAGAGCCGCAAGCAGTATTCCTGTGACCGCACAAGTTCATTACTCCAATACGGGCATACGACCCGCAGTTACACTAACAGGATGTCAAGCTGCAGCCAATCACGTTGAAGTACTCAATCAACCAACGACTGTTGTCTCGAGCCAGGGTCAAGTTCAAGATGCATCAATTTGCACAGCTTCATTCACATTACCCACTCCAGATAAGATCCGCTACCAATTAATCAGTTTCCGAGAACACTTTGATTTCGCTGATCTTTCATGGCAAGGAATTCTTTTCATCTTCTTTTACTTGGGTGATGTCAGTTTGCATGATCTAGAAAGGTGCTTTAGTTTATTATTATTATTAATTAAATTAAATAAGAACTTTGAGGCTTTTACTACATCTTGCTGAAGAAGCACTCCTGTAGAGTTGTTTCATCAAGTGATCATTTGTACACTACTATAGTTTTAGACTTTGGAGTCCATCAAGGTGTGACAAAAACCTCAAGTAATCTATTTAATTTGGTTGGATCTATCGATACTATTGAAGAATACACACAATACAAACACTTGACAAAATACAAAGAACGAATAAAATATTTAAAAAAACTTGTCGCTAATTTCCAAGTTGTTTGTTTTAGCCCGAGTGAAGAGGAAGAACCTGAAACAGAAGGACCTTGACAGCATCCGAGATTACACTCCGATACTGAGCAAAGGCAATTCCAGGATGTTCCGGGACCTGCGAGACAAGGGTATGATGTTAGCACCAATCGAAAGTATTAAAGTAGGTATTAATCAGCTGTGTATGAACAAGGATAAGTTTCAAAATTTTAAAAACACTCCCGTCCCAGTAAACCTGCAGACTAAGCAAATTTCAATTTGCCTGTTTTGATTTTCACAAAATTATTTCCATAAACAAGTCATATTTATTCCCCATTCAAATAACATTAGATTTAACGAGTAATTAGGTTTGCTGCTAAGGGTAAGTTAAAAAGTGTTTTTTTTTTTTTTTACCAAATGTTACTAACGATGAAATAGATAAATTTGCAAAAGGAACTACATCAGTTTTCTTTTTCTCCTTAAGAATCTTCAAAGGACAGTTTTTGGGAATTTTCTCCACAACCTTTTATTGTACAACAATGCTTACAACAATGCTATTTGTTTTTAAAGATTTCAAAACCCCATACACCCTGTTTCCATGACCCGATGTTGCTGGTTCGCAAACTCATTCAGTTTATTCCGCTCTACACCTTCAAACCAAATTTAATCGAAATCGGACCAAAGTCGAGTCAAGCCTTCACAGAAGTGTTTATGTATATATTATTTTTTTAGTGGCTTCTGGGGACATCAAAATGAAATCGGTCCCAAGTCTAGGTCTTAGGCCACTTTTTTTCACCGCGGTTGCCCGCCAGGGGGCGCCCGCCGCGGTTTTATAAATGCATTGCCGTAAATGGGTGCTTTTATTCAAATAGGAGCGGTCTCAGAAGTTGCGGGTACCCACGGAGGTTTGTAAATTCACCTGCTTGCACTTAGAAACCGCCGGTACGTAGCGGTTCGTATATGCATTGTGTTCTATTGGATCGTTTATTCAATGCGGGAGTTCGCCGTCACTCTTGCATTGCTACCAACCCAAGTCACCAGTGTCACTTACTACACGTGGTCTAGTCATTCGGCTGTGCGCATTGTCTACTACATAGGTACTATAGTTGTTAGGTCGTGTACATAGCTGAACCTCTCACCGTTAAAAATGACTTCATGAAATGTTACGGACATAAATACTGAAAGATTTTGTCTGAAATTATCTACAGTAAATAAAATTTAGATTGAACATTACTCTGGCACTATTTGAAACTTTTACAAAGGATTTCTTTTGCTAGAGTGTGTTTCTAGGTAGATTCCAGGCCTAAATAGCAGCCGTTGAAGTGAATCGATGACAGTTCTCAGTTGTAAACCAAATACTTGTGTTAGATTGGTTGTATTGAAGGAGTCTACATTAAAAAAACAAGGGTTGGCAGCTTTGTTACACTATCAGCGTGTTACACGTGACAGCGGTCGATCGCAGGTGACACATTGGTGCAGCGGGCAACCGCGGTGAATAAAAGGGGTCTTACCACCATGCCACTTAAAGTAAAATATTAATCTATACGGAAAGCAATTATTTTATTTATGTTACTGATTCAATACATTTTTGTGTGTTTTTTTCTTGTGAAAAACACCTCACTAAAGTAATCAGTTCTCATCTTTAATTATGTATTAATAAAATATCATAATATATATGTACTAATTATGTTGCAGGTATAATATCTTATACCGAGTACCTGTTTTTGCTGTCCATCCTAACAAGTAAGTAAATTTACAGTATCTTCTTGATAATAGAATGCTATCATATTATTTACTTGTACTTTTGTAGCTCTAATGTGTAATAAGTATATAGTCTCAAATTGTTCATACATTAACAGTAGTAGAATTATCCATTTTCTTACAAAATTAAGAGGAACCACTATAAAATTTTTATTTTAAATTAGCTTACAAGATTTTTTTTCTTTGTTTCAGATGCAAACTATTTCAAACTCTTGAGGTTTCTGTGTTTGTGATGGAAAAATTATGAAACATATTATACATAGGCTATTTTATAATTATCATTTTTCCAGAGCCGCAAACTGGATTTCGTATTGCCTTCAACATGTTCGACACCGACGGAAACGAAAGAGTTGACAAAAACGAATTTCTTGTGGTGAGTAGGAAAAAAACAATATTTAAAATTTTTTTGGAAACTAAAAGGATCAATGCCAAAGTAAATCTTCTTGTTAAGTATACAATTTTTTACTGTAGACAAGTTTAGTTAGTTTCTATATCTCTTTGATGTGAATGCAATTATTCTGGTGGTTGTTGATTATTCAATGCAGAGTGTTTAATTTCGCTTAGCTGGTTTAAGTTTCTCAAATTTATTGATTCACCTAGAAATTATTCAATTTATATTTGTTTGTGTTTTATTTCATTCATTGCAACACATTGTAATACTCTTCTGTAAACTATTCTTCAACAGCATGTGTTGTTTTAAAAATGAATTTAAGTGCATGTGTTCTTATTGTAATTTTTTTAATGAATAATCTGAACCGAAACATTTATACTCTTGAAAACATGCTCTGCAATTCACCATGAAGTATTTTATTGTGTTACATTAGGTATTGTATTTCATAATTATCACATTTTGTGTTCTAATAGTTTATTATTTTTCAGAATATTAAGGATGAATTATCACCTACTTCATAAATGTTCACAGAACTTAGCCTACTGTTGGTCAACTACAACATTTTGTGGAGATGCAAATTCTGTTGCGTTAGGTTTCCAGAAAGTAAAAAATGTAATGGTTTACTCACTCCAAATAATTGTTACGTATAGAGTAGAAGGAGCTCTTTAGTACAGGGAAAGTTACAACATAATTAGTAAAATAATATACAGCACCAACATAAAAAAAAACTTCTTAAAAATAGCATAAAACTTCCAAAAAAATTCCTTAATCAGATAAAAGTCGTGAAAAGCCGTTTTAACGCAATATCTTAGAAAAAAGGCTGTGAGAACTATCTCTTTACTAAAGACCTCACTCCACAAAATGTGTTGTAATTTTTTTTACTGATTGAAGGCCCTAGACTGTTGATACAACTAGACATTCCATCCCCATGTCAAAGCTGTCGCCAGTTTTTAAGTCTAAATCGCAGTAGTTGATGTGAGCCACCGACAGATTGTGCTGATGTAAATTACTGATTTTTGTTGAATATGTGAATATTTTTACCAAGTCAAACTGATGGATCGACTTATTGTGAGGTATGTTAACTGTTTTGACCCATCAACCATGTCAGCAACTATAAAATACGGTAGAAAATAGAATTTTAGACACTGGCCCATTCTGTATCTGGCTCACTCAACTATCTTCTTTGTTAATAAAAAAATAGGACAACTGGTCCATTTATGTGATGTCTACTTCAGTTTCCAATAGTCAATAGTGAAATCTAATGTTTCACATAAAAGAATGTAGTTTAGTGAACTGCAAATTATTACAACACTGAAGTTAACGTTTGTGAGTTAACTTTTAATTTGATTTGATGTACCTGAATTGCATGATTTTACATGATCAGCCAAGTTCAATCGGAGCTAACAGTGTAGTGTTCCAGCTGGAGATGTTGATAGTGTTCAAAATCATGGCGGAACGAGGCGTGATGGACGACAAGTCGAGACGTGCTGTGAGTCTTCGCCTCAAACTTCCTGGGTCAACCCTCGAACCCTGTTGTCACTGTTGAGGTTAACTTGTGTTAGGTATTGAACCTTACGATTCAGAATAGGCACCAGTGGCGGCTGGTGGGGTACAATACGACACCTGCAAGGCGAAGAGGCGTAAGTACATAGACCTACGCTTCTTCGTCCTGCAAGCGACGAATTAGAGGACTTAATCATAAACTGATCACTTAATGTGCGGCAAAAGTAAATGTTATGTCGAACGGCAGGACTATGACAAATATTACAGTAGGTACTCATTTTTGTTAAAAGTAGCTAAAGTTTCACTTTGTATTTTAATGCCTTTTTAATCTTGCATTTGTTTGTCCTCATAGGCTAGGTTGGGTTTGGTTAGGTTTTCCACAGAATGTAGGCTATCCAGCTACAAGAGGTGAACAGACACAGTACAAGAATAAACTAATGATAACATTTTAACTGTATAATTCTTTGATACTTTTGATACTCTTTTCATTGAAATGGCAACCATACAAAGTAGGTATTTTAAGCCAAGTATGAATGTAGATGAGTGGCATGATCTTGTAATCTTTATAGTGACTAAGGCCGACATATTCCTTAGACACAAGGCGGCATAAATTTATATAATTACTGCAAGACTGTGCCAAAGTAGCTCATATACTTAAGGCATTGATTGGTTGATTTTTTGCCTTTTAAGATGATTGGCAGTGTACTCAGGTCTCCATTTGATCTCGCCTACAAACAATCTCGAAAACTTTCAAAATGTATTCCGACACAACTTAGTAGTAGTATTTTTTTATTCTTTTCTTAAAAAGATTATTCTGTATAAACATCCTACCCAAAAACTCAGGCAACAACAAGGTTTTTGAAACTGGGAAGGCAAAAAAAATGTTTAAAGAATTACTTTCCAAAGTCTTCATGTACCAGCCGCCACTGAGAAGCACAGTAAGGGTTGTCTGGGGCGTTGATTGAACGGTTTTGGTCTACCCTTGGTACTCTTTGGTGCTGGTTATGTGATGGATAGAAAGCCTATTTCTTTAATAAATAGAAAACAAATTTTGCTGTCTGAAAACAATAATAAGTAGGCCTACTGGGTTCACAGCTGCATGGTAGACCAGTTTTCATGGGTAAAGTAAGTGTAATTGGTTATTAAATTAAGTAGGCAAATTGAAACTGAAATAACTAAAAACAGAGTTCCAATTTTTTACTAAAAAAAATATTTAATGAGGCCCTACTTAAAACTCTTCTAACTTGCTTTTTCAATATATCTGAAAAATAAACTGCACACATAAACCATAATTTTTATTGTATGAGTTACTTGTAGCTATAGATTTAGGTATTTATCACATTGAAACAACGCTAAGGCTCAGTAAAAATAACGAGGGATTGATTAACTCAAAACAACAAATAAATGTTTATTTAATTACTTACAGCAAGAAAACTTAGTGAAACAATAATTAACTTTGGAAATTGGATGTTCTGAGACTGAAAAATTATGATAAATGTTGATTCACTATCCAACTTCTATAATGTCAAATAATGTTAAAACCACTGTTGATTTGATTTTTACAAAATGTAAAAATATCCGATTGTGCGGAACAATTTTTTTACTGAAGGAGTGACAACAGGGAAATAAGAGGATGATGACAAGTTTGTTCCAGCTAGAGGCGCTAACAGACGGCTTCCGCTATCTCTCTCTGTCTGACTGTTTATTGCTTATCTTTCTCTTGTCTTGTTCTTAATGAAGACTCTGAGGGTGTCCATTTAATATTTAAATAGCCACATTCATGTTCATGAATCACAATTTCACAAGCTACTAATAATTGAAAAGTGTTTAGATTAGGTTTTACATTGTGTCAATAAGTGTTTGTATTTTAGTAGCCTTTCATCTTTATTTGCGTCCCTCGTTTAAGGCTGTTTAATTTTATTTAACTTAATTTGGACTTTCAGTATTCAGGACTTTGAATCAGAGTTTATGGGGAATTCATTTTACTAAATAGACAAAACAAGATAACAATTAAACTTCGTTCTAGTGTAGCACTTTTTCAGTGAGTAAATTTCCTAGCACTCAAAAATTCAGTTTTACGTTGTGTGACCATTTTAGAATATCCTAGAGTTTCTGAAGTTCTACTTTTAACATCTACATTTAATTTCAAGTAACAAAATAGTTACTTAATCTTATTTACCTCTTAAATGTTTTTATCACCTAACCAATAATGTAGAAAATATTAAATACGTCAACTGACGAGAAAATATTCTTCAACTTTTCATCAGCAAAACTGGATCATTATACAATTGGATACATTGACTGTTTTTTACCACTAAACAAATGATACTTTGATACCACCTAATTAATTTTAAAAGAATAAATGTTCGGGGATGGAGATAATAAACAAGTTTTTTACCCAACAAACTCCTAAAAGTTACATGAAGTTGAGAACCAATCAAATAAATAAATTAATCTACGAATAAACTTTCTCTCATACTCAATATAACATCATTTATCACTCTAGAACACTTTCTTCAACTAACCGTGGCTTACTTCCAGATTTAACCTATGCAATTTTTAGGTTACTGACTCTCGAGGCCTTTTCGACAGTTTCTAACCAGTTTTTAGGGAGGAGATTCTACTAATGGACTAAACCTAGACTAACTGGGTAGTTTACTGTGTTGTTATTCCCCAGTGTATGAATGTGGTGTCGGGGTTAGCCAACAGATCTTTAAATTACCAAGTGATCATTCCCGAAGTACACGTAGAACCGTCAAATGTTTTAACCGAAGCCTCAGAGTCTATAGTAAGTGGTGGCGGGTGTGTAGTTGTCGCTTCACTAACAACTCTCGCTGTTTCTCAGCTTGTGTAATATGTTCTGTGCTAATATTTTTTCACTGCTTCTATGGACGTAAGTTTAGTTGTAACTTTAAGTGAGTAATTTTTTGTATGCTAATTGATTAATATGTGTCAACATTAAAACTAGTTTAAATTTTGATCTATGAATTTAATTTAGCATTGAAGATAATCTAAAGTAAACTGTGTCAAGTTTTTCAGTTTATTTGCAATTACAAAAGACTCATTTGTATAGAAATAAAAAAAAAATGTAAAAATAAAAGTACACCAATATTTGTTAACTTATTGTACGATGTACAGTATTTAAGCAACTAATCTCTTCCACTCTGTCGTGTAGCGTGCTTTGCAAATTTTTGTAGATTTTACTTTTTGAGATCGTTCTGTTATTTTCCATAGATAAAAAACCTGAAAAACGGTTGTAATTGTGTTTTTTGCAAGAAAATAACTTGTAAACATCATAGATGGTTTCATGCATTGATAGTGGTTCTGTAGATGTTTTCAAAAGGTTGAGGTGTATAAACGCTAATATTTTCCCTCAATTTGGCAGATGGAGAAGATTTTCAGTCACGCCTGGAAGGACAAGCGAGGTTTGGACATTGAAGCAGTCGAGACGCAGCAGGTGGGAGAGCCGAGTGACGAGTATGTAGATGATGAGCAAGGATTACAACGGAGACACGCAGTGGACACTACACTCATCATTCATTTCTTCGGCAAGAAGGGAAACAACGAGTTGCGCTACGAAGGATTCAGGAAGTAAGCAACACTAAACACAATATAAGCTCGATTTCACCAAATCATTAATTCATTCTTTCTGATAAGCTTCCACGGTCCATTCCTAAAGGTGTTAAATCCTGGTCTATGGGTGACGATGGTAACTTTAAACACAATGGCGATGTTGTTGTTAACATTTACAACAAGCTGTCCAGCTGTTCATTCTCAAGACACAAACATTCCTATACAGAAAATAATTGATTATCGCTTTAAAATGGACTAGAGCATCACATCCATGCATAACGTTGGCAACCACATCATCGTCATCTTTATCTACGCAGTCTTCACCAGAAGACTAGAATAAACTTGAACCAGGAACTAGAATGTTTACACAATTTTGTGCTGCAATCTTCCCCATTATTTTTGAATTTTCTAAATCATAATTTTCATTTTTCAATAATCTGAAAGAGTTAGTATTTAATAAATTATTGGATAGAAAGATTATATAGATTTTAATCCACTAGTTACTTAGTTTGTTTATAACTTCTAAAATGATTAGTTGAAAGAAGTATTCATAGATTATTACTTACTAGTGTCCCTGTTGCTCGAATTCGAGCAATTGCTAAGTATTACAGGCGTTATTTTAAAACAAATTTCAACCAAGTCAGCAAATATTTGTAGCAAACTGTTCATTTAGCAAACGTATTGACTGTTCACGATTAACATGCTCTTCTTCTCACTTTCCTTGATTTCTGACGACAGCTGGAGTTCCATAATAATTTTTGTTTCCAATGTTAATCTTATGGAGAAATACGAAACTTTAAAGGGCTCCAGGGCCTCACTCTCTCATTATTTCCGTAAAAAGGAAGTTTCCTGCACAACTTCACGTTGCGCTCTTTCCAATGACACCAAAAACATGACAATCGGTTCAGTAGTTTCGGAGGAGTAATTGTCACAAAAAATCTGCTTGCGTATTAAATAAGTAATAGATTTCAAGTTTCTACTCAAAATCATTTGTTACCATTCTGAGTTTTTACTTAAGTCAACTTTTGTGTTGACAGGTTCATGGAAAACTTGCAGACAGAAGTGCTGGAGTTGGAGTTCAATGAGTTTTCCAAGGGTTCCACCACAATCAGTGAGATTGACTTTGCCAAGCTTCTGTTGCGCTACACTGAACTCGACACTGATGCGTGAGTTTATTTTCTTTATTTATCTTTCTCAATGGAGGCTTAACCCCTTCCCTTCCCCACTCTTGAGTGGCCAGGATGCTCAAACGAGTGTGAAACATCAAGAAGGGATCCTGTAAACAGGTTGCTCTGTGTCAAATACTTTTCAAGAAAGGGCTCTTAGTCTATCCTAGTATTACCCTTCTTTGCACTTAGGGATAAATGATTACATATTACATAGTTTTTCTATTCGTTACCACACTACCTTGCCAAATATTTAAAGAAATTATTTGCATTTTGCAGATACGACATGTTCTTGGATCGTTTGCTAGACAGAGTCAAGGAAGACGATGGAATCACTTTTGAAGAGTTCCGTGTCTTCTGTCAGTTCTTGAACAACTTGGAGGACTTCACCATTGCTATGAGGATGTACACCTTGGCAGACCATCCGATTTCCAAAGGTAAATCTCAATATTTACCGAGTTTACTCTGCAAATACATAGTTTACACAAAAGCTAATATCTTGTAAATTTTATGTTTTAGTATTCTATACCTAAATAAACCTCGTTCTCATACAGATACCTTGCCAACAGTTCCAAAAATCACAGTCATTCAATAACATGTTTATGGCTCAATCATCATTTTTGTAGATTGATTGAATACACATTACGTTCCTTCCTGGAATATGATTGATTTGATGAACATATTTAGCATTACACTACCAAAGTTCAGCTCTTGACTGTTTAATCTTGTCCAATTAACAGATGAGTTCCATCGTGCTGTGAAGATCTGCACAGGCACAAGTCTTAGTGAACACTTGGTCCACACGGTGTTTGCTCTGTTTGACGAAGACGGCGACGGTCAACTCAGCTACCGAGAGTTTATCGCTATTATGAAGGATAGGCTGCATCGAGGTTTCAAGGTGAGTATGTAGCATGATAGGTTGCAAGAGGTTTCAAGAAGAATGAAGCATTAAGGATGGGTTGCAAGAGGTTTCTAGGTAAGTATAAGGCAATAACAATAGATTGCAAGAGGTTTCAAGAAGAATTAAGCATTTAGGGTGGGTAGCAAGAGGTCAAGAAGAACAAAGCATGAAGGATAGGTTGCAAGAAGTTTCTAGGTAAGTATGAAGCATTAACGATAGGTTGCAAGAGGTTTCTAGGTAAGTATGAAGCGTAAAGGATGGGTTGCAAGAGGTTTCAAGAAGAATGAAGCATTAACAATATGTTGCAAGAGTTTCTAGGTAAGTATGAAGCATTAAGGATGGGTTGCAAGAGGTTTCAAGAAGAATGAAGCATTAACAATATGTTGCAAGAGGTTTCTAGGTAAGTATGAAGCATTAAGGATGGGTTGCAAGAGGTTTCTAGGTAAGTATGAAGTATTAATGATAGGTTGCAAGAGGTTTCTAGGTAAGTATGCAGCATTAAGGATGGGTTGCAAGAGGTTTCTAGTTAAGTATAAAGTATTAATGATAGGTTGCAAGAGGTTTCTAGGTAAATATGAAGCATTAAGGGTGGGTTGCAAGAGGTTTCAAGAAGAATGAAGCATTAACAATATGTTGCAAGAGGTTTCTAGGTAAGTATGAAGCATTAAGGATGGGTTGCAAGAGGTTTCTAGTTAAGTATAAAGTATTAATGATAGGTTGCAAGAGGTTTCTAGGTAAGAATGAAGCATTAAGGATGGGTTGCAAGAGGTTTCATGAAGAATGAAACATTAAGGATGGGTTGCAAGAGGTTTCATGAAGAATTAAGCATTAAGGATGGGTTGCAAGAGGTTTCATGAAAAATGAAGCATTAAAGATGGGTTGCAAGAGGTTTCTAGGTAAGAATGAAGCATTAAGGATTAGTTGCAAGAGGTTTCATGAAGAATTAAGTATTATGGATGGGTTGCAAGAGGTTTCTAGGTAAGAATGAAGCATTAAGGATGGGTTGAGAGATGGTTTCATGAAGAATGAAGCATTAAAGATGGGTTGCAAGAGGTTTCTTGCTATGTTTGGAGCATTAAGGATAGGTTTCAAGGTTATGCAGCATTAGAATAGGTTTCATCCTTCTACTTGAAAATCAATGTTAATTCTATACTGCACTTGTTTTAATTTTGCTGAACAATACTCCTTCTTAATATTTCATACACAGTTAATTTTTAACATGACTTGAACTAAATTTTTCAGATTACTACCAAGAATGAAGGTTTGGAGTCCTTCAAGATATGCCTTCGTCAAGAGATGAAATCACCAGGTTAAAACTAAGTACTACTAACGTACTTAAAACCATCATATATTTGTATAGAATTTAAATTTTCCACCTTCTTTATTTGGGCTTGATAAATCAAGGGTATGTTTTTGTTTTATCTTGTTTGAAGTGCTAATGTAACCTTTCTGTGATTCTCATGGTTTGTTTGTTTTCTCTGTGATATGTTGTAGTCATTGATTGTTGTTGACTGTTTTGTTCGTAAGTGTATTTATTATGTCTGCAATACAAAGGCTGTTATAATTAGGGCTTAAGTCTTCAGCACAAGTTGATGAAAACCAAAGGTTTGAGGTTACAATGTACAATAGAAAAAAATGGTCGTCTTGTATTTTCATTCATTAAATCTAGAGAGGAATTATGCAGTTTTCCTTATCTTAAGAGGAATGTTTGGTAATTACAATTTTACATTTAAACACAAGCTTATTAAAGTAGAATACGCAGTAATTAAAGCTCAAACGTTAAAAATTTTTTAAATACTTCGATTTACTCCAGCTATATTTTTCAAAACAATTATAAATAGAAACAAATGTAGATTCTTGAAAATAAGATTTTTCACTTTTGATCTATCTGAATTTGTAGTGGTAAATGTTATCTTAATATAAGATCAAAGATTTATAAATATGTTTGGGATATTAGAAAGGTATTAATTTTACTCATATAACATAGTGTTAAGTCTTTAAATATTATCTAAATTATTTAACGGTTTTCTTAATTTACGATTGTCAATGATAGCTCAACTCTGTATTTTCCACAAATAATGCATTTGATTGTTCTATAAATAACTTATCATAGTTATATTATTTAATTTATTAATAGGTTAATGTACATAAAAAGAACTAACCCAATATATTTTCACAACTATCCGTGATATGTAAAACTGTTTAATCTAATAATAAATCATTTCTTTTACTGCTCAAATACTGTAACGGACAATGTACTTAGTTTTTTTCTCGATTTTAATAGTGTTTATGAATTTACTAAACAAATTTATCTGCCCATCCAAAAATTTTGCCATTGCAAAAATGTAGCACATAACTGCACAAATATGATCATTATCGTTTATAAGAATCTATTTTATATTCTTTAAAATAATTGGTTTAACAAATTTGTCTTTCAGATTAAATAATAGTATTGTTAGTCATTTGTTTAAGCAGTTAGTTAAAAACCAAAAATAAATTAGTATCGTTATTTGACTTTTTTACCAAAATAACATGAATTTATAAGTATTATTTGAGATAAAACTCTAGTCTTCTTTTCCTATGAGACTGTTAAGTTTTAATTTGCCATTACATACATTACATGGATTATCTGTTGTATAGATTTAGTCATAAATAATTACATTTGAAACTAAAATATTATTCATTGTTACATAATTAATCTTGTTAAAATTGTTATTTATAATGTTACCAAGAACAAAATAGAATAGTTTACGATTATCAAATCAACATATTGTAGTGATGCTAATAGTATTGCAGAAAGTGGGCTGTAACCTGTTTCTCAATCAATCTATTACCTAATTTATTGTTGGTTGAGATGTAATATTATCGTAACCAATAAATATTTATTGCAAAACCAGCAAAACTTTGATTTAATCCTCAAAATAATTTAGTTTCAGACAAATATGAACCCAAAATTATTTACACCTATCGCATTCTTAAACAAAAGATTTTTTCAAAATCTCTAGGAAAAATATTAGTTTCTTAATAAACATTCTTCCAAGGGGACAGAACAAACAAAACATCAAACTGCTGTTTAATAATAATAATTTTTATTATTATTCTTTCAAGATGTTATTATCCACTTTTACAAAGCCATACAAATTTATCACTACTAGTGCTATGAAATGAGTGATGTAAAAGATCACAAATCCAAGCTAAGTTTTTAAAGCAAATAACTTAACTACTGTCTTTAAATATTTACAATATAACTACTACAGTAATATTTACAATATATACATACAAGACGAAATAAGATCAGTGAAAATTTGGATGGAATGTCAATTCACAGTTAAATTTAGAGTAAATGGTTGTAAGTTAGAGAAGTCCAGTTAAAATAAACAATACAACAACATTAAAGCAGACTATTTTATAACATTTCCATTGAGTCTTGACTACTTGTTGACTTCAAAGACCAAAAAAAGTATAAATAAATTGCCTTAAATGAACCACTTCTACCATAGCCTCTAGTTCAAGGCCGCGGTTGTTGGTGTGTGGCAACATTGCACAGGCCAACCTATTGCCATGGTAACTACAATAATAAAAAAATATGTAAAAAAACATTTCCCAGATGCTTCAATATGAATTAGTGCAACAGCTGTTTCCGTAGACCAGAATGTGACATTGCCCCTTACTTGTATTAGAGGTGGCTTTACATCTACAAAAAATTTAACTTTATACTTTGTAGCATCATGTGGATTCCTTTGTTAATAACCAAGACTAAATACCTCAGATCTTGTGAACTATGGATTATCTTTGTTATCAAAAAGATCTATACCTCATTATCATAAAAGGTAAGGTAACTTGTGCTTCACTACTTAAGCTTGGTGGTCGTTTATGTAAGCTTCATTCTTAACCCCTTCTATCTGACTTTGGGTCGGTGGTTTGTGTTTTCTGTAAAATACATATAATTATTAGTTGTAGTATATTATGAGTTGTTTTATATAATCACTGAGATGCTACAATTGTATCAATTAAGATCTATTCACACACATCAGTTCTGGCACGTCAGAGTTCAGTCATATCACAGTAAAAAAAACTATAATTTAATGTAATTTAATAGGTGTTCTTTTGCACTATCTACACTCATCAGGTGTAGTACCGATCGCGAAAACAAAAATTCAAAGCAGTCCTGGTAAAATAAAAAAAAATCTTCATAGTTTTGGCAAAATCAAGAACATCTTCTACGCACAGCATCTTTCAAGTTCACAATGACATCATTGTCTCACGGGATTGTGGCAAAGCCGTGAACATCATCAGCGATCGCAATGATGAGCTATTACAGATATCTGCTTAGTCTGAATTTTCGCTATTTCGAAAAGTGTTGTGTCCCCTTTTGGTTTGAAATAGCGAGACTCTACTGTATCACCATAGACAAAAATGATTAAATGTGGACAGTCAGTTGTGCTGCGGCACAGAAAACATACTACTATAACCCAGAATGCCAACCGCAGCATGGCAACGCTGGTGGCGCTGCCTACGGATTGACAGGCAAAGCTCTCTCAAACCGCTTAATGCTTTTTACCATGCGGTTGGCATTCTGGGTTATAGTAGTACGTTTTCTGTGGCTGCGGTTACCATAGGTTCTGGCGCACACCGCTGGGAGCGCCATGTAGTTACGGTGTGTGTGCGCCAGAACCTATGGTAACCGCAGTGCAGAGTTCCAAGTTAAAATTTCTCCCTTGGTTATTTTTTGTACAATAGTTGATACAACATAAAATATGGAGTTTATATTAAGTTATATTATCAGTTTAGTTTGGTTTGGTTGCAAAATTGATGTACTTAACAGAAATCAGTAATTGACTTTAGAAGACTATTATTAATAGCTCAATTAAACTATGTTCATTTTTATTCTAAAACTATAGCTTTAGCTTGAAAATTTTAGTGCTATTTATTTTATCAATAGCCTAAAGCCGTACCCACAAAATTCACTAATAAATTAAACACAACAAATATTGTTTTCTAGTAATGATTAATAAAGTTTAAGGACTTTTTTGTCCAGTTGTCGTCTGTTACTTACTTTCCAAAAAGTTCTCCTTCCTCCAGTGTTTGAGGTAGTTGCGTGTTTCTTGTCTCAGGAAGCAATAACCCGAGAATTCCTGCTGCCAGAGGGACTAGGCTGAACACTAAAGGAGGCAACATCTCCCCATAGAAACTCTGCAACAGACACAATACACGTGTTGCTGAAATATGTTGTTAAAATAGATGTTGTTAAAGGTGACATCCAAGTTCTGCTATGCTATTGGGTGAATTTGATAGATTAAATAATTTGACTTCAGTCTTCAAAGTGTGAAAAAGTTATAGTGCAGATCAAGGAAATAAAGTGTATATTCCAAGTGGAATGTTTCTGCAGTACTAGGGACACTATATAGGTTACATGAATCTCATTTACTGAAACTTGAGTTTCGGGAAATTACTGGGAGACACATTAGTACAAACATCGGATAATGGTACATGCATGAACATGAAAATGTCTTTTATTTGTCATTTGGTGCCATATGTTATACTAATAGCATTAACATAATGGTCTAGACAGTTCCATTTAAGCAATGTTAAACAATGTTTATTTTCGGGTCAGAAACGTCATTTGTTTATGTTTATGATCCATACCGGTTCTGTTCTGGTATTCTTGGTACATACAAACTAATTGCATATCAAATTTTATCAGTCATGGAAACAGAAGTGACATTTTTTCAGCAAATGTTTGTAAGTGAAAGATTGGTACTGTTACTCTGTTGCCCGATATGTATTTCTCCCTGAATTTCCCAGGATTGTGTACAAAATCAAATTTCAACATCCCAAAATCTTATTTGGCTTTTTTGTAACACGACAATTTGCCCATATATCGATGTGCACGAAACCCATTGGAACATTAAACCTTGTGTAGCACAAATTAAATTGATAGTTCACTTACCAGTGAGGCTACAAACGGTGCCACCATGGATAGTGTACAAAATCAAATTTCAACATCCCAAAATCTTATTTGGCTTTTTTGTAACACGACAATTTGCCCATGTATCTATGTGCACAAAACCCATTGGAACATTAAACCTTGTGTAGCACAAATTAAATTGATAGTTCACTTACCAGTGAGGCCACAAACGGTGCCACCATAGAGCCTACTCTAGCACTCATCGACCCTGTACCAACTCCTACGTTACGTACAACTGTCGGGAACAGTTCCCCGCTGTACAAATACGCTGTGGGGAACGAGATACCCATTCCTAGAATACCCAGGGACGCTAAGGCCACTCGGGGGAAATCTGACTTGCCTGGAGCTGCAACATAGGTGAGAAACAGTTTCAAAAAGGTGGGAGAGTTTCAAAGATTGTTGTAGTTTAGAAGAAAAATATGTTCAAAATTATGCTGCAACTAAAAGGAAAAATAGTTTAGGAAGTTTGCTAAAAAAAACATAGCAGAAAATATATTAAAAATTTGTCAAATAAAAGTATTCATACCTTCAGGGAAAAATATAATTAGAAAGCAGCAAAGTGAAGCCAGGAATTGTCCACTGATTAAAGTGAACTTGCGGCCAAACTTGTCCAGAGTGTAAAGAGTTATCAGCATGCCTGGTATCACAAATGATCCTGCAAACAAACGCAAAGGAGTATATATCATAGAAATCGTATACAATTTAATGGATGTCCTTTCAAAAATATCTGTCCTTTCAAAAATATCTATCCTGGTCCATATTTCGATATCAAAAAGTCAATGATTCACACACACTCCCTTGTGGAACAACATAGCTCTATCTGAAAACCCACTTATGAGGAGAAAATAAGGTTGACCATATGATTTAGATCTCCTTTTTATTTTTAAGTTTTCCTTAAATGATCAGCGAATTTTCTGAGTGCTATTAACTTCTTGAAACTTCTTCTTATATCTTCTTCCATCCTTCTTAGATACATTAAAAAAAAAATAAACCAGCAAAAGATTATACTAACCGGCCAAAGCTACGTTGACAAAGATATTGCCTCCGATCGTGCTGACGTACTGTGCCAAGCCATAGAAACACAGCCCGCATGCCATCCAGTTGAAACTCATCGCCAACGTCTTGCTGCGCATGTTGGGCGTCCGCAGCAAATCAAGGATATTGGCCTTCTTCTCCTCGGATATGTCGATCTTTAATACAAAAAATAACTTTGTTATCTAGAATCTTGATAAAGATTATCTTATGCATGAATAACAAAATTTCAGAAATCTTTTTTCTTCAGTAAGTCTTTCATGATGTAAGCATTCCAATTGTGTCATTGCTTGTGAAACTCTTTCTGTCTTTCCTGTAGCATAGTTATTTTGTTGAAATCCTGCTGGAATCTTAACACTAAAACAAAACTATAAATAATGCAGTAAAGTGTTGGAACAACATTGAACAATTTTATCTGGCTTCTACGGTACGACTTTTAATACACCACTATGGCTTACCACTATTGGTAGTCCAAATTATGTCAATTTTTGGATGTTTTTGTACATAATTTGGACTAATGACGGAGACAAGCCATAAGTCTATAACAATTTATATTAAGTAGCCAAGGGGCTTTCAAAATGAATATTATTTTAATATAACTTGAAGAAAAAAATTAGGGTTATGTAAAAATAGTTTAGTACAAGACCCATGAAGTTTGACCATTTCGCACCAGTTTATAGTTTGGTTTAACCATTGACTATACACCTCTACTAGAGGTGTATAGTCAATGGTTTAACGTTTTTGAGGTCCAAAGTTGATTTGTGTTTGTATTTCATGAGCAACTGTTCTTTTAACTGACAAATTAGCTGCTCTCAATTTTTTTTGTCTGGGACTATAACATCCTCAGCGTCCCTCCAAATCTGCCACTATCCTTCCCTTTATCATTTATGAGAATATTTTGTCAAATTCTTCCATAAATTGCCAAACCATCTTTACTTGTATTTTCCCTGGCAACTGCCATTTGAACGGGATAGTAAAGGATGTCGTTAAACAATTTTATTTAATGGCACAATAGTTTAATAATGTAGAATGTAGATGGTTTTTATTCTCACCCTTTGTTTTTCCGTCTTTGTAAGTGTGACGTCAGCAGGTATCGGGTTGTTATTCACAGCGGCTGCCTTCCGCAGCACCACCATTGCCTCGTCATACCTCCCCACGGCTAGGAGCCAACGAGGACTCTCTGGAACCAACCTGTAAACCAGGATCAAGAGACTTTAAGGACAGGTCATCTTAAAAAAGTTATAAAAAGTTTTTCTAAACTAATCGAATTAAATAAGTTTTTAATCGCTAAATATATTGCTGGCTGAGTATCTAAAAGTTTACTGGATCCTGAAAGTCAAGCCTGGGTTGCAACTGTTCACAGCTGACTTTACCATTGCAGTTTCAATAAATGGGCCTGGCTAATAAATCAGCTGATCCTAGTCAGTAACAATTAAAGTTATCATCACTCATTCGACAATCTGCATTCATATTAATCTTTGTCTAAAAACACACCATTTTGTGACGGAGTATAAATCTAATTCAAACAGCTGCTAATCTCTGCAACAATATACAAGATTCCACAGAAATAAAATGTCTTGTGTCAAATAATTTTACCTGTTGAAAACCACAACTTATATTGTTTATGTGTTTCAGACTTACTGAAGGGTCAGTTTGTAAACAGAAACAATAGATAGAGCTAGAAGAAATGGGCTATTCAGTTATCAGTTAACTATGACAATTTGTGCTGTTGTGTAGTGTATTTTACTGTGGGCATCCACACAACATTGAGAAAAGTTTTAAAAATACCCCTATTGCAGCAAACTACAGACTCCATGAATTAAGGAACGCGGCAGCGTTCCGCCCCGCCAAGTCCCCCAGCGGTACACAGCTGCTGCAGTGTATATATACATGACGTGACAAAGTGGCTTTTTTACTCGTCTATAGCTCTGAAGAAACAAAAGCTATTAAAATAATTGTTCATCTACTGGATAGGGGCAATCATTCTCAACAAAATTAAAAAAAAGAATTTAAAAAACGGTTGTGTTTGAGCCAAGAAAAACTAGTTTGAAAATTCACAAATTTTCCGTGTTCTCCTTCTTCTCCTTAAATGTTGACGGACCTACAGCCCAAACCACTGGCTCAATTTTAATGTTTTTTATGTTGTTTGAAAGCCCTTAGCGTGTAGATGTGCCTTTTGAGGGTCTCAAGTCGATGCGTTGACCCATAAACCCTTGGCAAGCCCTCAAAGTACGAGTTTGGCCCATTTAAATAACATGGGATTAAAATCAAAACAAAAGAAGGACCAGCTGCGATTAAATCTTAATTAATTAAATGTTAGAGAAATTCATAGGAACAGCTGAAAAATTATTTTAATACTTTTATAAAGTATTTTTTTCAGGTATACTGAATGATTTGAACTACTTACTATATAAAATTACTTAGAGCAGTGATATTCCCCGATACTTTCCATTGAAAAATGCAGTGTACCGATGGTACACTGGTACAGCAGCTCGTCATTTTTAACAGTTTAATACTACTTATCAAAACATATGAAACCTAGGAACTTGAAACTTAGTACTAGTACGCTAGTACTAAGGTTTGTTCTATGTTTTGATACACTAAAACAAATAAAACGATCGGGAAAATCACTCTACATATGTTAAACAAGCAATTAAAAAGTGATATGTAAATTTAGGATAAATGAGTTATTCAATATTTGTTTTGCCTTATGCTATTTCTAACAAACCTAATTAGTTTGATTACATTTTTACATCTCTAATAAGGGCTCAATTTACACTAGTCTTTAGATATACGGGTTTAATTATTAGAACACTTATGTAACATCAACACATTTTATGTTGTTCAAGATGAGCATTGATGAAATTTGAAACTGAGTTTAAGCCCAGTGTGTTTGTTAAATAGTAATTTTGGTACGTGTGTCAAAAAGTTTTTAATCTGTTTAAAGCAGATAAGACCAAAAATGTAGAATTTAGTTCTACATTACAGTAACAATATTATTGAAATTAAATGAGATGTAGTTGTGCCGTGGTCTATATATCAGAGAAAAGAGGATTTTTATTTTAACTGTTAATTTTCTACAAAAATAAATAAAATCTAACAAAAAACCACTAAGTGGTAACACTTTCCCCGCCAATATACGGGTTTAATTATTAGAACACTTATGTAACATCAACACATTTTATGTTGTTCAAGATGAGCATTGATGAAATTTGAAACTGAGTTTAAGCCCAGTGGGTTTGTTAAATAGTAATTTTGGTTTTTGGTACGTGTGTCAAAAAGTTTTTAATCTGTTTAAAGCAGATAAGACCAAAAATGTAGAATTTAGTTCTACATTAACAATATTATTGAAATTAAATGAGATGTAGTTGTGCCGTGGTCTATATATCAGAGAAAAGAGGATTTTTATTTTAACTGTTAATTTTCTACAAAAATAAATAAAATCTAACAAAAAACCACTAAGTGGTAACACTTTCCCCGTCAAGTCAGCAATCCAAAAAAGTTAATAAATCATTACTTTTTCCGCCAAGAAAAACAATGTAATGTATGTAAGTTTGGCAACTTGGCGGCAGACTTTTGCTCGATCCCTTTAAAAAATACCATAAAACTAGTTTCATTGAGCAAGTATCCCTCCCATTGGTACATTGCTAGGTGAGAGCTTATTTTACAAAATTTGACCTTATTTGTGCCACATTTCATAAATTATACTTAGTTGGACTAATTAATTAGAGAAGTTGATTTGTGAAATTATCCACGAACGTAACTTAAATGAAAAAAAACCAAGCAAAAGTCTGCCGCCAAGTTGCCAAACTTACATACATTACATTGTTTTTCTTGGCGGAAAAAGTAATGATTTATTAACTTTTTTGGATTGCTGACTTGACGGGGAAAGTGTTACCACTTAGTGGTTTTTTGTTAGATATAAGTTACTGGCTGAATTTTTCTAACATCAATGTGTGTGATAATGGCATTGTTTGACTGTAAAAAAGGTCAAAAATTGGATCCAAAGAACGTCTTAATACATACAGTTATCTGGCATGTCTACTGATACGTACAATTTTTTTATTTCAGCTGCGGTTTTTCGATACGGACGAAATGAGAGCATTCTATTGGCTGTCATGGTGTGACCTCATACTATCTTCTCTTGAGGGAACACCATTACCGCAACAATACGACGTGGTCATCGCTCTTCGCGTTGTAATGGATAGAGTACTCGGCTGGTGTCCAAGAGGTACCGATAGTCAGATCGAATCCCACCGGTGACACTAAGATTTTGCTTAGAATGTGATTGCTTCTTAACGGTACATCTTTTGTTAGAATTTGAGGAAATTATAATTTTATTTTATGAACAGAACTATTTTTTCGATTGGTAAACCTTCATTAGATTTTTTTCATCATCAGCAAGTTTGGTTAGTTAGGTTAGGTTGTGACATAGTGTTAAAATTTATAATTAAAAAATTAATTTTATAATTTTTCTTAATTTCATAATTTAAAAAAATTAGGTTTTTTAATTTTGTCATTTTTAACTCTCATGTTGTCTGTATCGAAAAACTGCAGCTGAAATTAAAATTGTGTATACTTTAATCTCTGTGTAATACAATTAATAGCCATCTGTATTTTTCCTTGGTTTAAACTCAAGGACGATGATTATGTTTATCTTTCATTTTATCTGCACAAAATTAAGCTATAAACGATAATACACCTTAAAAACTAACTAACAATTAAGGTAACATAAATATTGCAAATTGCAGTTAATTTAGGTAATTCTTTTATCTTTGACTGTTTTCTTGGGAAGGACAAAAATTAATTTAATATCCAGTAACTGCATGCACACAAAATATAAATTGTTATTTTACCCCGTCTTCAAAGTAAAGGGGTTTTAGAACGTGCTCACTAAAATTTACTAAAACGGATAGCAATTAATTTGCATTGGCTAAAAGTGCAAAAAAGGGGGAAAATATTTTAATTTGTCATCCATACAAAAAGTTAAAAAAGTTAAGTGTGGAAAGCTCACACTTGTTTTTGTAGTTTATTAATAGTAGTGTAGATTGAGCCTGTTGGTTGTAGCCTTGTCTCCATGAAGCTTTCAACAAAAAAAGTCTCAAATAAAAAACAGTCTCAATATAGGTACCCTTTTCTTTGCAGCATCAAAACGAGACTAAATAAAATTTTCCATTTCAACTAAGATGGTGGCTTACCAGAGGAATGTGATAATGAGGGCTGATGGCAAACTAGTCACCAGTTGGAAGTGACGCCAGTCTCTAACGAAGTACGCGATGCCCACCATCATCTCGTGGCCGATGTTGAAGGGGATGTGAGACAGGGTGGTGACGGTTGTACGCATCTGACCACTCAGGACCTCCATACCTGTGTCATTGAATTGTTAAAGTGACTTGTTGATCAAGTGTCAGTTCTACTAAGTGGATAGTCGATAAAGTGTATTTTCTATCAAGTGGTTAGTCGTCATATTGTCAGTTCTACAAAGTGGTTTGTGAATTTAAAGAAACGTTCTAACTCAAATCGAGTGGCTAGATAAAAATTTCTGTTCTAACAAGTGGCTTTCATTTGAATGGCTTTTTTAAAGAGGTTTTTAACCTTGCATTTGCCCGTCCACATAAACTACAGATCTGTGCGTGGAACAAATCCAGCAAAGCAAGGGGTGAGCCGGCACAGTACACAGGTGAACTGTACTGATAAAATGTTTGCGGCAGTGACCAGGATCCGAACCCACGACATCGCTGCCTTAGGCCTGAGCCACCGACTCACCATTGTCTATCAAGTGTCGGTGTTAACAACTGGCTTAGCAATCAAGTGTCAATCCTACCAACTGGATTGTCGATCAAGTGTCAGTTCTACCATGGCTTAACAATCAAGTGTCAGTTCTAATAAATGGAATTCAAGTGTTTTCTGCTAAAGGGTGGCTTGTCAATTAAGTGTCAGTTCCGCTAAGTGGCTTGTTAATCAAGTGTGTCATTTCTACCAAGTGGCATGTTCAATAAGTGACATTTCTACTAAGTGTCTTGTCATTTAAGTAACTCATTATAATAACTTATATTTAGAGGCTATCAAGTACAGATTAGTTAGCTGTAACTTCAACTTCAACAACAACTTAATGCGGCCATCTCAATTTTAGAAGCTAGTGAAACAAAAAGATATAGATATCTACTAAATTGAAATGCTGGTACTATAGTTGTCCCTGACATTCTACGTACAGAGGACGAAGCTAATGGTCATCATTCCTCCTGTAGCGACAGCCTGAAGGAACCTGAGGACGAGGAAGACGCTGAACCAAGGGGAGAAACTGGCGCTGACCCCAGTCAGCATCTGTACCGTGCCAGCAAACACTAGGGGCGTCTTGCGACCAAACCTGCGGCAGAAAATGTTGTATGTTCATATTTTCAAAGATCAGCTGGTGCTATGCCCATTACCATAAATGGTGAGCGATTTCGATTAGATCATAGACTATTGGATATTACTCCACAAATTTTAAGCCCTGATATAAGAATGACAAGAATTATCACATGGTATCTCTAGTGAAATGCTGGCAACAGGATGAACCAGGATATAAATTATACTATAGGAAAGCTAGTTGTTTATTTAGTTGTTTTTTGTTGTTGTTGTTGTTGTTGTTGTTGTTGTTGTTGTATTTAGTTGTTTATTAATCAGCATATCTATGTTTTCAATTTTGTTTCCAAGTATTCAACTCTTCCTATGAATTCACAACTCGTCTTAATACTATTATTGATTACTAGCTGTAACCCGCGGGCTTTGCCCCGTTTAACTTCTTAAATTTCAAGATTATCTCGTTCGCATGGCTCAATCACGTCATGGTTGAAGTTTGTTCGCTACGCTCACTCACCTTTAGGTTGGAGCTCGTTCGCTACGCTCACTCACCTTTAGGTTGGAGCTCGTTCGCTACGCTCACTCACCTTTGGGTTGGAGCTCGTTCGCTGCGCTCACTTGCCTTCAGGTTAGCTCATTCGCTACGCTAACTCGCCTCCAGGTTGAAGTTCGTTCGCTACGCTCACTCACCTTTTGGTTGCAAATTAGCTGTTGTCATAAATGTAAAAGAAATAATAGTGCTGCACCCTGTTGGTAATCCTTGTAACTTTAATGCTATTGAACATCATAGAACAGAACCAACTTGTTTAATTGAAACAGCTGTTAAGATTCAATAATTCCATTTCTCATAAGGTTAACATGGGAAACTCCAGAGCCACTGGGGCGGAGCCCGAAATGATTTTTGAAATAAGAATATGCCTATATGTTAATCGGGAATGTGAGCTATCATCATGCCAAATTTCAGCCCAATCCGACCAGTATTTTTCGCGTTCACTTGTCACAAACATACATCCATACATCCATACATCCATACATCCAAACATTCTCATTTATAATATTAGTAGGATAGTAGGGTATCTCGAATGTTATCTTTATCTTTAACATTCGACCGATCTGTTATATTATTTATCCACAAAAATGTATGGTTCCTAAATTGTTTACAAAACGAACAATTTTCCTACCATAAATTTTACAATTGCAACTGATTTTGTGGATTCAAGTAGTAGAAATCGTTATAATCTTTGATGCAAAAGTGTATTTATTTGATCATCTTTTATCAACTCGAAATCATTCCACCCATACGTGAGCTACTACAGTGCTACACAGATTAAACATAAACCTATTTTGATTTTAATTAACAAGCTCGCCATTGTTACTATTGTGATTGATTACTATTGATAGTTAGTTACTAACAACGTTTTAAGTGACTTCTCGCAATTGTTTCGTAAATTACAAACGTTTGTAAGATTCTTTACTTTTAAGCGTTGACAAAATAATTGAGTTAAAATTCTACTATTATCTAGGGTGTAAAGTTCTCAGAAAAAATATGTCTTGGAGGAATCAAAATTTAACTAAATGAATGGATTAGTTTGCACTATAATCTAATAGAATGAAATGTTGGAAAAATCTATAAATACCAAAATACCTGGATAGGTTTGTGTTTTATTTCCAATCTCAAAACTCCTTTGGTCTCTTTGAGGAATCCTCGAGTAAATATTATGTGAATTATGTCATCAATTAGTGTCATAGAACTGTAGTAGGAAAATTACAATCTTTTCATATTTGGTACGGTATCAAAATTGATTTGGCGGATGACTTGTCACACGTTTTGAATGTTAAGCAATATTTGGAATATGCCTTAGCAAAAGGCATTTTAAAGTACGTAAATTTAAAAGTAGGTTTCAATTAATGATGGAGTAGAGGAACGGTTTCAATTTAAAGGAACTCAACTACTACATACAAGAACTGCTCTTCTGCAACGGCTTTTTCGACCAAGGGTTAAGCAACTGTACATCAACAAGTAAAGTCTTTCAAACGTAGTAAATGAAATATTTAATATTTCAGCTAAGGGAAAATGTAGACATGAAACGAATAAGGGATAAAATTAAAAAGTAATTTGTCTTTGAACCATTCATTCCGGAACAATAGAAATGCTCAACAATGATGAAAGGATATCCTGTATTAAGTCATCTTGTCATCAAAATCCATTTGGAAGGTTACCTTGAAATTTAATAGTAAAATAGTTACTGGCATGGTCAAACAATATGATTCGTTCTTTCTGATGAAGTGGACAAACTAATTTTGTCAGTTTAAGTTGAAGCAAAGGTCGAAAGATTTGTATTTTGAATTCCGTATTTGTCGGGCTTACCTGTCGGCAGCAATGCTGAATATGATGTTGCCCACAAGTATTCCAATCATCAGCACCATCTGAGTTACGTTGACCAGCTGAAGACGGCTGCACACTAGGTCCCACTAAACCAAAACATCATATAATCAGCCTCGACAATAGTGGGCTGCAATGCCTTAATCATGGGTATCATGGGCATACGTAACAAGATGGCATAAGAGAATTACAATAGCATAAGCGATCGTCTAGCCATCTTCATCACAGAGTAATAATTCAACATTCTTGCTGGCTACTTATATAGTTACCCCTCGTTTCATAATGAGCATTTCTGAATTGACTGTGTGGAAAATAATGGTCTTGGATGGGCGAACCTTTTCTATGTTTTAGGCATTACTAAAGATAATGCTAACCAAGATGTGTTACCTTAATTCCGTATGAGAACCCTTACCTACAAGTTGTAGCTCAAATTTACTGTTATCCAGAAGTAATTTAGTTGCCAAGAGAACTTTTGATCTTTTTGCAATGCTATCATTGGCATCATGCTGTCATTTCAACAGAAAGAACATGCGCATGATTCTTTTTGACAACCTACCTCACTGATGATTGTCTCAGAGAACACACTCCTGTCGTAGACCCACTTGTGGCATTCACCACCTTGGTCCGTGGTGCAGGTCTGGGTACCGTTGTCGCAGTGGAAGGGCATGGGGGCTGCTAGGAACACAATGCCCAGCTGTACCCACGCAATGGGCAGCTTGAGACCACACATCAGCAAGATGATGCCCAGCTGCCACTTGCCGTAGTCCCCCATCGCCTTCTGGGCGAGCTCCTCCTCCGCCGCCCCTCGGGGGGCCTCGCCCTCGCGCTCCTTGGTGCTCACTGGAACAGAAGAATAGAGTTATTGTTCTGAATGGATCAAGAGAACAGAGTGTTAGTTCTGGTTGAAATAGTTCTGAATGGATCAGGAGTTAAGAAAATAGAGCGATAGCTACTGTATTAATGGTTCAAGGGAAGATAAGTAATATAGTTCTTCAATTTCTTCAATGGATAAAGAAAACAGAGTTGTGAATTCTCAATCTCAATGGATCATAAGAACAGAGTTATGGTCCTGAATGGATCAGGAGAGTAGAGTTATAGTTGATCGATGAAACTGGAGAACAAAGATATAGTTCCTCAAACAATGGAACATGAGAACAAAGTGTTGGTTAATCAAATAAAGAACAGGAGAACATACTGAGGATTAGTCTTCATGGACATGCTGTGTAAAAGTCATACTAGAATGTCACAAAAAAATCAAAGTACCTACTAGGCCATCTTCCTTGTTTTTGTTTGTTTATTGTTATCGTACTAAGCTATAAAGCGTCTATAGATAAAATAAAATCATTTTTATTTACTGTGTGGAAATGAAAAGAATGTGTCAAACGTTTATCAGACAATAAAATGGGCTACGAACACAGATCATTAGGATCTTGTTGAAGTAGAAGAAAGGTAGTTCAGGGCATATTTTCAGTTAGATTACAAGGTTATGGTGTCAGGGCTGAGAGGAAAACTCGAGGTAGTTAAGTGTCCGGGATGTAAATAACATGTGCAAATTCTCACGCACATACACATAATCTAAACTACATCTAAATTACATCAGGCGTCAGTTTGGTAATGAAGTATATATTGGTCAAGAGTGTCATATCCACCTCCGCATCCTATCAAAGTGCATAGCGGCAAAATTACTATTCTTATCACCTTGACACCTAGCATATCACAGAAAGTAATTAGTGCAGCATTCATAGTTTCCGACTAAAATAACGTCTGAGGATAACGCACTACAGCTAATTCAAGGGAGCGAGCTAGTCTAGGGCGCGGGTCTTCGGATCACGAGGTCGCAGGTTCAAATTTTGCTAATCACCAATGAATATTATCTGTGATAATGCTGCAACCCTCTAGGACTAGCCTGTAGTGTGTGAATAAATCACAGGTCTAGCATTCTATGATGTAAAGGTGGAACAAAAAACCACAGCCAATATAGCAGATCTATTTAACTGAACGACACTGAGGAGAAACAGGTTCACCCAGGTGTATCTCATGCTCATGTCCTTCAACGCGTTTCCGTTAACTTACCGTCGGTTTTATTTCGACTTTCCGTCAATTAACCTGAAAGTTAATAACAATAACCTTCAAATTAATTAATATAGGTATTACTGTACTGTACATTATAAACTAAATATATTTGATAATAATCAGGAAATTAAAAATATTCCTAACATTTTAATACAATTGTCAATAAATATTATAGAACCTAAACATCTTCCCGATGAAAATAAACAGGACTTAGTAATGATCTGAGCTAATATAGTTGACGTATGTTTAAAATAATATCGAAGAAAGCTAGTACCTAATTTAATTGAACGAATTTGACCTACAGCCGTGTAAAATTATTTAAATATTTGCACTCCCCGAATTTCACGAACGAGTTAATTTCAGAGATAGTTTTTTTTTTACAAAATAAGGAAAACCTTGAACACTTGAATAATTTGAGTAAGTGCTGGAAAGTTACTTTCGGTAAGTACAAGTTATGGACGATACTTTTTATCACGACGCAAAAATACTCACACACAAAATAGCATACCTCAGTAGAATTAAAACTATTACCTACCATGGTATATACTATATAATCAGCAATGCTATTATTATATTTCTTAATCGACATTAAGTATGAAAAAGCAAATAGGATATAGCAAACCCAGCAAACCTTTATAACAATGTAAACATTAGAAGGTCAAGGTTATGAGGGGCAGTAAACATATATACGCTAAAACACAGCCAAAACTATCTTAAGCCAATTAATTACATTTCTATTGTTGAACAGTAAAAACAGCTAATTTCAATAATACAAATTTGTAAATAAACACTACAGCGTAGTGGGCAAATAGCTAGGGAAATCAGCTGATCGTTTCCCCTTGATCTAAATTGGAGGTGGTAAACAATTATTTTCTTTGATATCAGCTGTAATTGAAAATATCTTCTTTCGGTACTGAGTGATGAAATAGTATATTACGTTACTAGTCCTGAAAATAAGTGTATCCGCAGTACAGTAGTACGCAATGAACCCCCATTTGAATAAGCTGGTGGCAAACAGCTGTTTTCTGGACTAAATCCTTGCGTGGGAAGTTCGTCAAAATAATGTAGTGTGGCGTAAAAGTCTTCTAGTTATGTTTGTACCCACGCACATAAAACTCATGCAACTTCGTGATCAAAGTTGCTCATGCAAGATCGTGAATCAATAGATTATAACAACACTACCAATCTCAGCGGCAAACCGGAACGATTAGCTCATCGCATAATTTTGAGGAAAAACTACTTGATGAAGACATTGACCCGGTCAGCTTCTTAACGTCCTTGACCTATGACCTCGGCTACTGTTAGTGACCTGCAAGCTTACACTTCCTGTATCCCTCCCAGGAAGACTACAGGATCACCTTGGACGCGCTCTAGCAGACGTAGAAGTTTGACTGGACTACAGGACTGTTGTGTAAACAGCTGTCGACGCAGCAATACTTGGCAAACGGATAATTTCCTTATTCATCGACGCAAATTCTGTAGGCGTGTCAAGCTAGTAAAACTGTAGTCAAGCGATAGACATTCTTGTAGCGAAAGACAATGGGCAATATTCTTTATTATATGATCGTAGTGAATTTTCAAATGTAAACAAATATTACAAGTTTTTTCGGTGGTACTATATTTTAGAAATATGGGTAAAATGAATGCACTTTTTCATCAATAATTTTTAAAATTTGAAGGTAAACTGGGTAACAGTTTTTTAAGTGACAAATTACTATAAAAACAATGTTGGAATAATGTTATGTTTGGCGACATAGATAAAATACATGTGTTTCCCTCTTATTGACCATGAATCCAGACGTAAGAATGCGGTAGTGAGGTAAACCAAAGGGTGATGAATTTACTAGCTCCGATTTTCCCAACTTCAGTATGCAAGTCACTAATCCTACAAATTTAGTTTTTTTCTATTCAGGTTGTTCTCAGCAAGCTTAAAAATTTGGCCAAGTTTGGAAATATATTATATGGTGTTTGGAAAACAGTAATTATTTAGATCTTGAATAGTTTATGTGTATTTAAGTAATTTCTTTGGGTTAAACATCGTATTAACTCGTCATAATTGAAATAGTTAGTTTGACGGTTTATTTGTAGAATGGTATTATTTAATTTTACTGTCCCAGCATACTTGCAAACGTATTTCTAGATTTGTAGAGGGTTTTTGAATGTCTAGTTGCTTTTCTAAGTTTTTATTCTGATAAATATTAAAACAGTTTTAAACTTATCCATGCCCAAATTATACGAAATAAAACCAACAAATTTTTGCACATTATCTAACGTTGCTACTACGAAAAACAGCGTGATTTTGTGAAATTCTAAAATTCTAAACTGAAATAAATAAATTGGTGATAAAATTATGAAGATTACTATAAATATTCCTTCAAAGTATAATATACGAGAGGAAGACAACGTCACAGACAATGGAATAAACATTAAAGTATTATATTGTCTGTGACAACGTACTGCATTTAACTCCATGCTATCTCGGTGACTAATAGTAATACAGTAGTAGAAAAATAAAAATATCGTGTTCTGATTTTTTTTTTATTTTAAAGGTCATCTCAAGAGGGAAATGATATTTAACTATCAAAAATTCCTAGCTACATCAAAAAACCTTATATTACAACACCTTAATTACTACGTTTGATCAAAATTCCATAAAAATTAAAGACTTCTTACTTTTCGACGTCTCTTTAAACAGCTGTTATTGACCCAGGTTATGCCACGAAGACTACAGATTACAGAAAAAGATGCAACTTAAAGTTTGAATGAAAAGACAGCTTAAAGTTCGTACTTGACCTATTTCAATCAATCCACACTAATTTATAACAGTACAGTAAAATGTTTGAAATAATGTGTTTGACTTGAAGTATTTATATTTTTCATTTTTGGATTGGATTATTTTTGGATGCATTAACATTGCACTATTTGAAAACCGAATAACCAGCTTGTACTTTTTGCACAATCTATAGCCTCCATCTTCACAGATAAGCATAATTTCGTAGTAGGTAGTTATCTTTAAAACTTCGGGTATACAAAGTATGTAAAAATCTTGATTTTTATCGTATTTAAAAATGTACTTACCAGAACAACATAAGCTTGATAACCATTGAAACTTTACCATTGTATGATCTATTGCAATTCATGAGGGACTAGTCAGCTGATATAAACAGCTGATTTAATTCACGCAGTCTTCACAGCTGATTGTCAACATGTCGTGTATTCTGAACACTTAGTCGAGTTTGAACAGACTATGCTATGACCTTGAGACAACAGTTGTTCATTTAATGATTCGATTTTACAGAACTGGCACGTTTTGAATCTGGTAAAGATTACGGAATTAATAGTGATATTTTATCCAATTTAAAAACTTAATAAAACGTTTTTCTTATAATTTTCTTAGCTATCATTATGCCCGTAAATTTAGCAATAGGTTTCAGAGGATTATATAAAGCTGTTTAAGCTATTTTCTTTTTAAAACTTACTGAGTTGACTGTTATACATTTTTTACAAAATGTCCAAAGAATTTAGTATTAAACCCACTAGGCCTCCTAGGCCCTCCTATACATTTGGTAAGTTGTTTTAGCAAGCTGATCATAATATTGACAAAATGTGGATTTCTCAGTGAATATATTTTTATAAACATTTTCCAAGCCTCTTTATTTAATAGAACTCTTTTGTAGCTAAACTATGCAACAATATTTTGGGTGTTTTTAAACAGCGGACCTGGTTACTGATTTAGCCAATGTCTGATTTTTTGTCCTAGGACGCTA